TTAAATCTAATTATGGTTTCATGATCAGGTTCCCACTATTTGCAGTAGAAAAGATAATAACTTGCTATCAATGGCTACAACTTTTATTCCTCCTGGGCATGACACAGCTGCCCAGCAAGTAAACATTTAAATAAATGCAAGTTATTCTGCATGTATGCTCCCTCAGCATTCACCAACATAGCATCTAAGGGTGCAAGGATGCCCTTGAAGTCTCTGCCCAGTGCCTGAAAAGCCTCTGGGGCATGTGCCCCCCTATTTCCTCCTTGGCTATCAGGTGGTAAGGGTTGTTTCTCTCTTGAAAAGAACTGAAGCTGAAGGAAGAAGTTGGAAGAGTGACACTCTTCCCCACATCCTCTTTCAGGTCTATGTGCTTTTAAAAGACTCAAAATAATTCTGCTGGATCTGGCTTTTACTCAGATCCCTTGGGGAATCTGAATTTCTGCCTGTTTTGTAGCTGTTAATGACACACTAGAGTGGCTATTTACGATAGTCAAAAAAGGAGAAACACAACCACTATAATAGTAATTGTGAAGAGGGCATGAATTTGCATAAAATTTGCTTGTACACCAATGTGGATATTGACATAATTCAGCAGGCACCTTCTGTGTCAATTTTAAAACACCTGCTGAAAACTTTTCTATTCTGCCAGGGCTATGCAGGCAATTAAGAATACATCTTCCCACAATTGATGTCTGATGTTGATTGATGTCAGTTAACTTTTTGTATGCTTTTTATTCTATGTTTTATGTATTATTGCAATAAAGCACTTTGAATTTTTTCTCTTTTTTTGATATAGTGGTGAGAATCTATATCTATCTAGCTATCATCATCATCATCATCTATCTATCTATCTATCTGTCATCTATCTACTGTGTGTGTGTTTGTGTTGTAGAGGCAGGGGTGGGGGAATAATGTGGAAACCTTATTTTGGGATTGCAGTGATTATTTTATTTAAAAAAATAAAATTAAAATAAATTATGAGTATCAGGAATTGGTCCCATCCACAGGCTTTTATTTTCTCAGAGCAAGTATGAGCTTCTGAGCAGCACAGCTCAGAGTTGGCTGAAAGGCAGAGAAGTGTGGAGAAGAGGCACTCTCTCTCTTGACTTTTAACTGGAAGATGTCATGCAACAGTGTCACTCCCATTGTAGCAGCTTCTGGGTAGAGTGCCAAACTTTGCTTTCTGTTGTGTACTGACTCTTTAAGAAGTGAGCCTAGAAGGCATCAGCACAAGCAGGCCATGTGAGTGAACCAGAATACACAGTTTCACTTTTGTGTCAGACATCTGTATGTGGGGCTGCATGATATCCTCAAGAGGAAAATCCTGAGCCTATATGGGTCACTTCCTAGGGTCAATTCTCAGATGAGTTGCACTTGTTTTTGCTTTCTTTCTACAATCGAAGTTTTCCCAGGGAGCTGCAATAATAATCAATAGCTGAGGTTAAGGAAGGCAACTGGTACACGATGCTGTTATTGCATTTACAGTTGTGCCATCCTACAATACATTTTCAGCCAGAACAACAAAGCTTAGAAGATGGCAGACAAAGCCCACTCGCTTCCCTCCCTTCACAGAGGGAGGGACAGGAAGTGGGCTTCCTAAAGATATATCCACCTACTGTACAGTGGTACCTTGGGTTACAGGTGCTTCAGGTTACAGACACTTCAGATTACAGACTCCGCTAACCCAGAAATAGTACCTCAGGTTAAGAACTTTGCTTCAGGATGAGAACAGAAATCGCGTAGCGGCAGAGGGAGGCCCCATTAGCTAAAGTGGTACCTCAGGTTCAGAACAGTTTCAGGTTAAGAACGGACCTCCAGAACGAATTAAGTTCTTAACCCAAGGTACCACTGTATATCCTAGCCTGGCTACCTGAGTTGCCAATTTAGAGCTGCAACAGTGACAACAGGCCACATTAATGAATGGGGATGGCTCACCACATATCACTTATATAGTCAAATATGGCATAAAATAGGGAGTTAAGAATGTTGACCAAAATACAAAGCAACTGGTGCCAACTTTTTTAATACTTGCTGTATGACATTCAGCAGTACATATTTTTGAAAGCAAAAACAAATTCATCTTTACTTTGGATGCCTAGTTCTTCCAGCATCCCAACTTGCAATTTGCGTGGCAGTCAAATGTAAAACAAGGGTTGAATGCTAACACATTTCAGTTTTGCTCACTTGGTTAAGCATTCCTTTTGTGAAAATGTACATGTGACATGCTTTCTTTCTCCGTTTAACACTAAGTTAATAGTCTCCAGATTCTAAGAAACGGGTAATAATGGTCCATTTCATATTAATAGCTAGATTTTTTTTTTAAAAAAATGTGCAGAAAGCCAGCAAAAGGTAAAGCTGGATTTAGTCTCTGCCAAATCCTTCCTTTGTTCACCTTAAGTTTATCTACAATTCCAGCCAAACGGAAATCCCTGACAAGAAAACAGAAATGATGTTCCAGGAACATTGAGAGAGGCATTTCAAATCTTCTCCCACAAATCCTCATGGCTGCTCTGACTGACAAAGATGCTCAACAACATGCAGTCACAAAGCTATCTATAAGAGAGATCTGAAAAGCCATGCTCTGTGCTCTCTCCGTTTCCAAAATATGAAATAGACAAGTACATTCAATGGCTATCAAATCTGCAGGATTGGCTATAATTCCCAGGAATGGATGCTGTTTGCTCTCTGCCTGTAGTCACTAGTGTTGTTTTGCCATATAAATGCTACGAACAACTTGTTTTTGTAATTTCTTTTGCCTTCAGCCGTGCAGGAGAGCCTTCCCATAGCATTTGACGTGAGCATGATGGTGTAGAATAATAAATGTGTCTTCTTTTATTGCCAATTACAAATCTAACAAACAGGCAAACTAATGTTCTTATTGAGGTTTGGGTGGGAGGCACAGTGAGATAAGAAGTAAATATTATACAGGCTTTGTAGCACAGAATTACAAATTCCAGACTTCCCTACTCCACAGTCTTCTCAGCCTATCAAACTACAATGGTACCTCTAGTTACGAACTTAATTCGTTCCAGAGGTCTGTTCTTAAACTGAAACTGTTCTTAACTAGAGGCGTGCTTTTTCTAATGGGGCCTCTTGTTGCCACTGCGCCACTGGCACACGATTTCCGTTCTCATCCTGGGGCAAAGTTCTCAATTTGAGGTAACTCTTCCAGGTTAGCGGAGTTTGTAACCTGAAGCATTTGTAACCTGAGGTGTTTGTAACTTCAGGTACCACTGTATGTTCATCCAGACCACAACTATCCCATGGGAAAGTTGTAGACTCTTCTGAATTTCCAAATCCTCGCAAAATAAATCTCCTTTAGCTGTGTATAAACAGGGGTGGCGTAAACTCTTTCTTAAAGATGTTATTGCAGAGATGGCTATATGTTCAGTGTACATGCACAGGTGAGAAAGTAAAAGGTAAGATCTGGGGTAAAATTCTCACATCTTTGTCCCCGGACAACTTGAGGTGCTGCACAAACAGGACAGAAACCACTCTTGTTTAGGTGCCCTTGTGTCTCTCTACAGCCATGCCAACCCTATAAACAGAGTTAAAAGTCTTTTTTGCTTGGTAGTTTCACCCAAATTCCTTATGGTTACCCATGCATGTCAGAACATTAGCCAGATATTTGTTCTCTATAACTACTGGCATCTTTATAGATGAGGTCTGGTGCAGTGAAGAATGATTTATTTTGTTAGTATTTGGGAATTTGAAAGCATCTTTCTACTGTTCCCATGGGGTGGTTGTACTCTGGAGTCAACGTAGTCTGGCAGACCGAGGGACAAACTACATGTTACATACAATCACATTTAGCATGTCTGGGGGGTTTTTGTTTTTGTTTTAAACACAGCCATGCGGAGAGCTCAGTCAGGATTGGGACAACAGCAGGCAGAGTGGGTGATTGACCCTTTTACCCTGCACCACATTCTCCATAAAACTCACACCTCACAAGATCCTGTTTTATTTACTAATTTACACTGTTTCGTCTGTGGCTGAATTAGATGTTTTGTGTGCTGTTTTAATATGCTGTGATTTTTTTTTTAAGATTTGTATTACTATCTGTACTTTTTCACATTTTTAGTCATTTTGACTGTGATGTCCTGTCAGGGACTGGACTGAGGAGGAATGGTGGGAGCCCCCCCCCTTTTCTAAACATTCCCAAGGGCAGGAGGACAGTACAGTATTGATTTAGAACAGTGGTTTGCAGAAGGGCATAGTCCAGAGGGGGAAAACTGGGTGAGGAACAGCTAGAAGAGGAAACACCAGGAGAGAGAGAGAGAGCTGGCAGATTCAGTCTCCTAGGACAGCATTCCTGACCCTCCCCCCTTCACCTAAGACTAGAGGGGCTTTGAAAGTGATAGAACAGAAAACGCATTGGCAACAAGCTCAGATTACCCGATGTAGGAGTGATGCAAGTTAATGGGGACGGAGGGGGTGAACCTTTACTGGGAGCAACACCGTTTTTAGAGAGATATGCATTCCTTTGTCTCTCGCTGTGATTATTAAATAACTTATCTGGTAAGAATGCTCCTTTCATTTGATTTGCTTATTTACTGCCACCGGGTGAGGGATCCGAATCCCCAAAGCCTAACACGTACATTCCTTTGGAAATTGGTTGACTTGCAGCAGTGGCATATGTGGCACTGTGGAAGCATTGAGCTTCGCTCTGAACATCACCACTGCTTAGCCGGGTGATGCTGAGGAGGGGCAGCAGCAAGGTTGTACTGACAACTAGGCCAGAGCACCAGATGGGCAGCAGTACTCCCATTGGTGCAACGTTGTGGCCTTGACCTCGCCATTGCCCAGGCTCATTCAGGTAAGCAGCAGCAATGTCAATTTCAGGATGGGGACTCCGTGGCTCCGCCCCACCATATAAACAGCTGCTGAATGGGGGGGGGGACACCCAAAAGCTAAAAAGAAATATGTGGCTGTTCTCACCATGTCCTTCTGGCTTTTACACATTGATCATAGCAGTGTTATGCAGAAGACACATTTCCCTCCTAATATATTTTATTACAGGTAGAACTGAAATGACATCTTCAAGCACCCTTAGAATTCACAATATTGTTCCAAAGTAGCAACCAGATGCTGAACAGCTGCAGTTTAAGCTCAGCACACGAGTGAAGAAAGAAGCCAGTCTCAACGTTTCAGCGTAATCAGGCTCAAACAAGATATGTGCTCCTTGTTGGGAAAGATTATACAACAGCGATTTCTCCTATGACAAGAAAATGGGATGTATCAGCAGAGAGAAGAGGAGAAAATAGATTGCTGCAGAGTGGAAAACAGAACTTCTTACTGAGTGTACAGTTCTGGAGAAATTCAGAGTCAAATGAGGCTTTAGAGATCACCTGAGGTTTTGCCTAATATTTGCAGGGAAAATTGGTATTAATTAAAACAGAGTTATTGCAGAAGGTAAGAAATATGTCCAAAGAAAGAAAGAAAGGAAAGGAAAGAAAGAAATTCAAGCTGTGTACAATGGAATGTGGTTTGAAAATCCCAGTTGCCCAGCATTATTGAGAGTTGGTTTCTCAGGTTTCTTTCCAAACCCTTTTTTCTTTAAACTTGTTATAAGTCTTATTGCAGAGAAAGGAAAACATATCTTGTTAATGAAGGGGGGGGAGGCGGGGGGGGGAGAGAGAATAGCTCTAGCAGAGCCATGAATCTAAGACATACAACAATGCATTACTTCTGCCATCTGGAGGCCTCTCATAAAAATGTCCTCTCGATGATTTAATCTGTCATTGGCCTGTCAAAGCTTCTTAGCTACATAACAACTAAGTTCTGCAACTGCTGCATTTCCTCTTTCCCAACTCATGAAGAAATGCCATGCCAAGGCACAGCCAACCTTTCAACTACTGCTCTGCTGGCTTGTTGTAGCCCAACGTTCCCCCTATTACAAACCTGTCAAGCTCCTCTCTTCTCCGCAGACATCAGATTGCACGTCTCCCAGTTTTTCAGCCGCTTTCAGCATTTGACAACATAATAAATGGGACCGTACAAAACATCCCAGCACAGATGCCGAAGCAAAAACTGATTGGTAGTAGGAAACCAGCTTGAAGGGGTTATGGTTTTCCCGATCCCCATGTGCTCTCCACATTTCTGTTACCATTAGCACCGATGCAGGACTGCAATAGCTCCTTGACGATGCTTATTAATATGTTCACTATGGCAACTGTCAATAGGGTTTGGAGTCTACTGAATCACTGCTTGTAAAGAGTGAATGTATCATAATATAATCAACCGTGAATACAGCTTGTCAGTTGATGGAGAGCAAGAAAACAATTCCCCTTGCTTTCCAAGGGTTATGAGTCTTGAAGTAGAAAGAAAATAAATGGGAAGCAAAACACAGAAATGGGAAAACAGGGTACAAAGGCAGAGGACTGACTTTGTATGCAATACTTTCAGATCAACACTTAGCCATGACACATGCTGGGAAGTCTTGGGCAAGACGGTCTCAAGTAGCTTATGCTATTTCCCTTTGGGTTTTGTGAGCATCTATATACTGTGGTTGCTTTGTTGGATGGTGAGGTCGCTCAGAAGGTAATTGGTTCCAGCTCAGAAAGTAATTGGTTCAGGCTGCCTTGTGGGAAGTAGGCGACATCTGTATGGAGAGGCCAAGAGCACCTCCTTTGCACTGGGGCAAGATGCCAGGACCGGTCCATGGCATCTCTTACTGAAGGACCTTGGCTAGTAGGATTATGAAAGACATCTGCCTGAAGGCAGGTTTGAGTAGGGGCTGTCTCATTTTTGGATTCCATTTTTAATTTGCTTTTGTTACATATATTTTCAGTGACATATGCTGAGACATACATTTTAAGTTATTGTAGTATATATTTTTTTACAAATATAAGTTTGGATTGTATTCATTGTTGGTCATATTCAGAACAGATTCATTGAAATTAATGAGCATGACTAACTTAATTTCAGTGGTTTTACTCTGAGTAAAACTTAGGCCTCATCTGAACTATACATTTAAAGCAGTTTCATACCACTTTGAACAGTCATGGCTTCCCCCAAGGAATCCTGGGAGATGATAGATGATAGATAGATAGATAGATAGATAGATAGATAGATAGATAGATAGATAGATAGATATAGATAGATGATAGATAGATAGATGATAGATATAGATAGATGATAGATAGATGATAGATAGATATAGATGATAGATAGATAGATGGATAGATGAGAGAGACAGAGATCACCCTTCATTGCAAGGGCTCAGGGCAGTTCTAAGAATAAACTAAAAGATAAAAACACACGTACTTAAAACAAACCCAACTCAATAATGACCACCGCCCCTTTCCCAGTGTAGTTTGTTAAAAGTGCTGGGAGTTGTTAGGAGACCCCTGTTCCCCTCACAGAGCTACAATTCTCAGAACGGTTTAATAGTCAATCCCTCTTTGTGGGGAACTCTGAAGAGATATGTGGAAATGGCGTAAGAGTGGAGAGGAAGCACTGAGCAACAACTTACCTTGCCCCTTAGGCAGCAGTCTATGTAATACACTTTCCCTGCTTCTTGTCATCTCTTGAAGCATGCATGGGAAGGAGGAGGAACAAAATTAATGTAATCTGGACAAGAAACCCAGAAGGGACAATTTCAACCCCCCAAACTGCTTCACTTGTAAATGGGATGTGTATGACAATCATTACCCCACTTTTCTGCCTTCTCCAACAAAAAAGAAAGAGAGAGGAGGAAAGTCTGGCAAAGCTGTTTGGAGCCTGATTTACCTCAATTTATCAGATTATCCCCAAATTGAATAAACCTGAATTTACAGGGGACTGTTATTTGAAGGTAATTTTATGTGGACAATGCAAATTAAATGGGAACACAAACAGCTGCAGGGTGGACAAGCCCACGGCCATCCTTCAAAATGCACACTTCTGCCAATTTAGTGATGAGTTCTTCATCCAAATAATCGAAATGCACATAGCAGGGTAAAGTGTGCAAAAAGAACATGAAGCATATATTGATGACAATAACATGAAAATGCCTTCTATTGGAGGAGATTGTTTACAAAAACGTATAAGGCAAAATTGCATACAAGCATGTATATTAGTATAAAATGGCATGAAAATGCTGGTGAATTTTCATGAGTTTTTTTTAAACAAACAAACAAATGGAATGGCAATGTGGAGAACTGAATTTAAGATTGGAAAAATGTGAACTAGAGAGAAGCCTACATTGACAGATCTGCTCTTCCCTATTCCTGATTTTTCACTACTGGATCTGAGGGTGTTCTTGTTGCTATCCTCGCTTCAAGCATTGACCCTCCTCCACCACTGCCTAGATATCAATGGATTAACACAGGAAGCAAACTTTCCCTTCACAGAGGCTGATGGCTTCACTACTTCCCTGGGTGGCTGTACTCAAATACAGACTGGTTTTGGTATTTTGTCCCTGTGCCAAGACAGTATGTTATCTGGATCCATATCTGCAAATGGCGAAGCAATATACATTACATATACTCAAGTTATAGTCAGTTGGAGCTGCTGAGCCACATGTAAATATATTATTGATTTTTCCCCCTTCCAGATGGTGCAATTCAGAAAAAAATTGTTTTTAAATTATGCCTTGCAGAGATGCTGAGAAGTGCTGCTAATAACAGGCATATTTCAAGTGAATACTGACCTGCTTTTCCTCCCCATCAAGCTAATGCGTCCAAAGTACTGCCAGTATTTTGTATAAATTACCTGCATTGTAAGAACTTAAACTAGAGCCTCTGCTTCATTAGAGCTATTTAAGTACCATCTCTTCCCAACAGCTTATTTAGGTTTCCAGTGGAAGTCATAGATGGGTGCAGAAAACAATCCAGTCAAATTGCAGAGAGAGAGAGAGAATTCATCGCAATCTTAGCCCTAAAATTAAGCTGTGTTATTTTTTTACAGCAGCCCAAACTAAGTGCCTTTGCTTCGATTCAACAAGAAAGTAGAAAAATAAATGTTCATGCACTGGTCTGACATAGACCTTGTTGAAAAGGACTCTCCCTCTCTGCACATTACGAATGAAACTAGCTGCAAGCAGAAACAAGTATCCTCCCTAGGATTGCTCTCTGGAGCAAACCCTGACCTGACATCCTGTAGTATTATGCTAGAAGGGAATTTTACATAGAGAGTGCCAGAGGAAAGGAACACTCACTCTAAAAATTGCCTGCCTGCCCTGTTAAGAAATGGAGGCTATGGCATTTGGTTCTGTTGGGGAAGCAGCACCATAGCATGGAGGGGCAGCCAGAGAGGCCGTGATGACCCGGTACACATTTCTGAGGGGGCACTACCAGGCACCCCCCATGACAGGCTCCCTCATTGAGGCCAGAACTGTAGGGAGGCAAGCCAAGCTGTGCCCTGTCCGGGCCCACGGTGCTGGGGGGCGGGCAGCGGTGCCTCCTCCTCATTGCCGCAAGGAGGATGCCGCCACTAGCACTAACAACCAAGGAGAGGCAAGAGACTCCACCTGGATCAGGAGGGAGAGAGGCAAGAGGCAGAAGGGCAGCCTCATTCTCTGGGGTTGTGGCTCCAGCACGGAGCAGCGGAAGGCAGATTGATCTAGTGGGCAGGTGGACAGAGGCAACAGGTGAGGAGTCTGATGGAGGCGGGCTCTGTTCACCCTTTGTGCAGGCTCTGCACACATCCTGCAGGTGCATGCCTCCACCCCAGCTGTCCAGTCCACCAGGGGACGCAGCACTTGCCTTGCCTTGCCCTGGGCACCGGCAACCCACGCTACACCATTGTGAGGAAGACTGTGCTCGCTTGGTTCTTTAGTAATGGATTACATTGGTATCACACCTCTATTCCAAGGAGCATAAGATGGCATACCTGGTTCTCCCCCCTCCCCATTTTTATTTTCACCTCAACCTTGTGACAAAGGTTAGGCTGAGAGATGGTGACTGGCCCATGGTCACTCAGTGAACTTCATAGCTGAGTGGGGATTGAAGCCCTGGTCCCCCAGGCTGTAGTGCAAGGTTCTAACCTCTATACCACATGGACTCTACCTTTGCCCCTCTTATCTACCTTGTTCTTTATCCACCTTATTCTTTTTCTGATGACACCTCTGGATCTCTATAGCCACCAGGAATCTGATGGTGGCATCAGGCCTTTGAGGCTGAAATCATTAGGCTTTGGAGGAGGAGTGTATCTAAGTAGCACATCTGTCACACCATCCCAGCTGGTGTGTAGACACGGACAAGGAGAGGTAATAGGCACTTAATCCTTAACAATTTCTTAATCCTCAGTGACCTTTAGTGCTCCTGTTATCTCAGAGATAAAGCCAGAAGGGCTGTTAGCTTCACTGCATGTCTTTGTGAAGAAGCACAGTGTCTAGCACGGGTTCTGAGCAAAACTATAAGGTGCAGGGTTTTCTGTAAGTGAAATACCAACAACATGTTCTGTGGAACAGCATTCCTGTTGAGATAAAATAGGCACCTGCTATCTGTACTCACCGGAAACAATTGAAGACATTTTTGTTTCGATAAGCTTTTCCAGCTGGATGAAAAGGTCTATGCTGTAGGTGTTTGTTTTGTACTGCTTTTAAGCTTATTTTCAGGGGTGGGGGTGATGTAAAAAAAAGTAAAACTATTTTTGGTTGTTTTTATAGCATGTCTTTAAATCGCCCTGAAACATATGTAAAAGGTGAAATAATAATAATAATAATAATAATAATAATAATAATAATACTACAGTCATTCCATAATGGACATAAGGTTCAAAACTGGATTAGTAGATAGAAAGATATCCAAAGTAAAAGAACCATTATTTTGCAGGTTTGGGCACTCTGCATGCAATATCAGCTCATCAGTATTAAAGACAGACTATCCATAGGCACTAATAATATTTTTATGGTCGCTGGATTACCATAGTAGGGATTCTCTGTCCCTCTGGGTTTGACAGAAGCTCAGCAGGACCTATCCCATCCTATATCTGTTGCAGTATTCCCTTTTCTCACACACAGTGATAGAACACCATTGTGGGCAGGGATGAAGAGAAAATGTGCTACTGGTCCACCACCAAGGTGAAAGTGACTGTCTGTCACATAATTCCAGTTTAATAATGAGTTCTTTCATTGCTAAGTGTCTGGAAAACCATGTGCATGATCCCCTTTACGTTTGCACTTCTTCTGTCTATAAACATGAACAGATTTGTAAATGAATATGACCATAAAATAAACTGATTTCATACACAGAAATTGAGTGTGCGGTGATGTTCACATATTCAACCATTCACTGACAATAACAGATTTTCCGTAAGCTCCCTTTCAGATATTCTTAAAAGTAACCTGGATAGTACTACGGTGCAATACAAGCATCCTTAAACAACTTTGTTCCACATTGAAAGGATAAAAGGATGAAGAACTTCCTTAACATGCTATAGAAAGAAAGAAAGAAAGAAAGAAAGAAAGAAAGAAAGAAAGAAAGAAAGTCAAAGTTACCTGGATCAAACATGAATGATCTGATATATTACTTGATGCATGCCATATTTAAAAAATAGTGATTTGGGAGTTTCAGCTGGGAAATGGGTTATAAATCCCAGTCATAAAGAAACAAATGCCACAGCCTCCTCACCATTTGTGAAGTAAAGCAGGAATGAGGAATTTGTGGCCCAACAGTTGTAAACTGACTACAACTCCCATCATCCCTGATGGCAACACTATCTGGGGCTTGTGGGAGTGGGGACTCCAAAAACACCTGGAGAACAACAAGTCCCCCATCCCCGGATTTAAGACGTTATCCGTTTTGAGCATTTTTCAGAATGGGTCTAAAATTACAGTGGTATCTCGGGTTACAGATGATTCAGGTTACAGACGCTTCAGGTTACAGATGCTTCAGGTTACAGACTCTGCTAACCCAGAAATAGTACCTCGGGTTAAGAACTTTGCTTCAGGATGAGAACAGAAATCGTGCTCCAGCGGCGCGGCGGCAGCAGGAGGCCCCATTAGCTAAAGTGGTACCTCAGGTTAAGAACAGTTTCAGGTTAAGAACGAACCTCCAGAACGAATTAAGTTCTTAACCTGAGGTATCTCTGTATTTGCAAGGATCCCCATATCTTTGTCCTGGCTATGAGCCATATATTTCTCAAACCAGGACCCAGTTTGTAGAAGAATCAAAAAGTGTGGCCTCATGTATATGGCTTTCCCCTCTCCTTCACATTTATTTTGTCACATATGCCTCAGAACAGAGGTAGCCCAGGTGGCATCCTCTAGATCTTGTGGACTCCAATTCCCACCATCACCATGCAGCATGGTCAGTGGTCAGGGATGACGGCTTTTGTAGTCTAACAGTATCTGGAGATACCAGGTTGGACATTCCTGCATTTGCACGTGTATCTGTATATGCCCAGTACTCTTCCAAAGCACTGTTTTGGGATTTTATCTTATATAGATTATTTAGTGCTGTTGTTACTGTTTTCAACCAACAAATAAATGTACTTCCTCTTATCCTTTCCTTATTTTTTGATGGGGGGAAGCTCACAGGACATCAGATGTATACATGCACATTTTGGTAACTATTCCAAACACTGGTTGGAACAGTTATATGGTCTCGGTGTTGCAGCGTGTGTCAGAGATCGCTATTAAGGGTCAAGTATCTGGTTGCCACAGAACTAGACTATTTCTGCATTGAGTTCCTGGCAGATGGCAAGTGAAAATGCCCGTGTGTTAAAAACTGGCTGACACACTGATGCTTAGAAAAGTAAATGGCCTCAGACAGACCTCCTAAAGAAAATTCTGATGGAAGAAGCAAGTAAAGGGACAGGAGATATTTCTGGAACTAGTATGGACAATCTTATGTAACAGGAGGCGAGGCTGGTTAAATACAGTAACTTCTGAAGGTTGAGCGAGAGAGAAATACACCCATCAGAATTATACATGGCAACTCCTTTCCAATGCAGTGGTACCTCGGGTTAAGAACTTAATTCGTTCTGGAGGTCTTAAACTGAAACTGTTCTTAACCTGAAGCACCACTTTAGCTAATGGAGCCTCCTGCTGCTGCCGCGCCACTGGAGCACGATTTCTGTTCTCATCCTGAAGCAAAGTTCTTAACCCGAGGTACTATTTCTGGGTTAGCGGAGCCTGTAACCTGAAGCGTATGTAACCTGAAGCGTATGTAACCTGAAGCGTATGTAACCCGAGGTACCACTGCATTTTTATTTATATGCATTGCTACACATGGATCACAGAAATGAACTTAATATAAGCAACTGAAATCTGGGCTGAGGAATGTTATATTCAAAACTGGGAATATAGTGAATCAGCCCCACGGGCACTCTCTCTGGGGTTACAGAGGTCTGGCATACAAGAAGGATGTTTAATTTAGCTCCATTGTCTGGCTCTGAAAATTGACACGGGTTGGCTTTCTTTGGGGCTCACTCTGAGCTACTTTAACTTGGATGAACACTACCCTGCATCTTCTATTGTTGGCACATCCAGGGTTTGTTCTACTTCGTGTCAGTTGAAATCAATCAGAACATTCCCACTGGCTTCAGTGGGAGTTGGAGTCAGCCTTTAATCGCTATGTTTTATTCATCAGAGCGTAGGAAGATGCAAGAGCCTTGAACTCATTTCAGCTGACCTGATATTCCTTATATCACCAAAGCTGGTAGACGCGCTCCACCTGCCTCCAAATTGCAGTTTTGAAAAGCCAAAGTTCTCCAAGGTGATGTGTAAGATTAAAATAAAAAGCAGATTTGGAACAAAAATGAGGTGTGAGCACAAAGTCACCTTCTAGATGGCATTCATGAACAAAAGTCTGCAAGCCCAACCATGCCATTCACCACTTTGAGGCTTTGACATTTAATCCAGACGTCCGTCCGTCCGTCTATTTATTTATTTATTTTACTTATTTACAGCAGAGAGAAGCCACATGGAAGTGCTCAACTCTGTTGATTAACATGGTAAGCTGCCATGTGTACTCGCAACAAATCAATCTTGCACCAACCTTTGCATATGTGTGCTGCACACAAACAGCAGCGTAGGAATATACAGGAACCAGAAAGGCTATTTTGCCTCTCTCTTTTTCAGAAACTTGCTGATGTGGACATAAATGAACCTATGCATGGTGGTGGGGATGGTTCTTCTGAAGCTAATCCAATATCTCTCATTCCTCCTCCCTTTTTTTTCCAGAATAAAAATGAAAATATGAAGTTTCACCACCACAGGCCCTCTCTCCCTTATCAAACTTTTGTGTGTTCAAATTTAGTGACTATAAATCTTGGGGAAAGCATGAAAGAACGGATTACATTATGGAAAGAAGGGCAATGAGCATATACAGGATTTATTTTTTTAAAGCATAATATGTATTGATCTGGGACAAAATGGATGGTAGGTAGTCTACAAAGGCGTTTTAGGAAATTCCATAACAGTCTCTGTTCTGGACATTTCACCTGATGGATCTTCCTGAATCAATACGTATCACTGCATGAAATGAGGCTTTTCAATAAACTGCATCTAACAGTGTCCCAATATTCCTCACTCAGATTTAGGGGAGTAGGACTATTGGGCCCTGGCCAAAATTTTCTAAATGTGGAAATGGTTGTGGCAATTCTCTTTCATCTTTAGCACAATATCTTCAGGATGTGAATGATTTCATTTCAGAGACAGCAACAACAATGAACAAAAAAAATATGAATGAATGTAAAGTTCTCTGGGGCTTTCTTTCCCATGGAAGTGGAAGAAAAGAAACTGTCCCACATCATGAATAAAATAGCCCATATTTATACATCTCAATCAAAAAGGAAGAAAAGGGAGAGGACTAGGAAGTGAAACCAAGAGTTACACTTGGCTTAGAATGGTGACCATGCTTTACATTCCCTGCTTTGTCCAAGAAGAATAGATTCAATTAATTCTTAAAGAGTTCTTTACCCATATCATCCAGTCACATCCTGAACAATTCCCCCCCCCCCACGCCTCTTTTCTCATCCTCCTCCCTTCTCTCTTTCAACTGCTAAGGACAAATGTCTTAAACACAACCTGATAAGGAACTGTTCGGAAACATTTGAAACAGAGAAAACTCAGGCATACGGCTATATAGACAAGTACCCCTTGAAACACAGGATTTCAAGATGATAATTTGGTACCTTCTCAAACTGGGCCATCTTTGTGTGTTTACTTGGAAGTAAAAGTATGACTGTGTTCAATAAGCTTACTTCCAGGGACTCGTAGAAAGGGTTGCAGCTGGGCAGAGCTGTATGTGGGGGGGGGGTGATGGGGAGACTCCAGAGTGGCTGTACCCTCACATCCTATTTGGAAACATAACAGAAGAATGAGGAGAATTAGGAACCTTTGGGTTTAGTAGAGCATCCTCTTTTGGCCTCCACTGCTGGCAGTACATCTACACATGCAGAGCTTTCTGCAGGTGTACTGTGCCTGTGTCCTGTGTACTGTTCCTGTGTTCTGTCACTGTAAGTGCTTCTCCACTGGCAGGACAGCATTTTATGCCACATCATATGAGCCCTCAGCCAACTGAATGCTGATTGTAGGGTTTCAGCTGTAACTGTCACCAATTGCACTCCGTAAAATAATTCATATGCTAGTAAATTGGTGGCATAAGTGCCAGAAACTTTAAAATATGATCTGCTAAATGGTTTCTGCACCTTTATTATGAAAAGTATACTGTGAGTTT